GAAAATCGCTTGTTCTTTTGAAGAGTTTGGAAAGAATTATTGCAAACTTTATGGAAGAATTGGTAATAACTTTAGCTTAAAATGAAACAAACTCCCGAGTAACTTACCTTACGCTTTGACTCCTTRGACACATGGTCTTCGAAGCAATTTCCTGTTGTAGTCTTCCGTCTTTTCTCCATTATTGTTTTGAAGCAAAGGTAGACATACGATCTCAGTTGAGAAACTACAGGAGGTGAAGTTTTTTTAAGTCTAATAAAGCGTATAGATAAGTGGTTTCTTCATTACAATCACCTTAGCTAGTCTTTGAAGTATTTAAAGTAACTATTAGCTTAAAATCACCGTATTTTGATTGGTCTGAAGTCCATGTGCGCACGAACCAGCAATTAATAAATGTGTCAYTTGGAAAAATGGCGCGCGACACTTTGAAATTCTCGTSTTGTAATTGGTCAATAATACAAACGTCTTGTGCCTTATTATAAAGAACATATCACCGAACAAAAGAAGACCAGAGGAAGGCTATTGTTTATAAGTTATTAAGGGCTTATGTTGTCCTTTCATAGTAAACCTGCCTTGACATTGGTCGAGAAAAGCTTAAAATGATTCGTTGTAACTTAGTCAAGCGGTACTGTTTTCTTGCCTAAGGCGAGTCATGCATTTGGGTTTGTGTTGAATCAGTTTCAAAGAGCGAACGTGTGTTTAAATGATGAAAACACTACAGGTAGTTTCAAGGGACTTTTGTTTGGGTTCTATAGGTATACAGCATGATCCTTGAAGCACGCTGGTTTGCTGTAGGGCCAAACAAAAGACTTTGAAATTTTCCCACGGTACGAGAGTCGACCATATGAATACGTGAATGCTAACGTCAAAGACCTGCTTAGAGGGGATAGCAAACCGCATTCAATTCACTTACATACCCAAAGGTATCAAACAATAAAGAATATAGATATATTATAAGAATTGTTACCGGACAGCCTCTTATTCTATTGAATACACAAAGCTTTGGACTATCGCAAGGATTAATTCAAAACCGCATTGGRGCTTAACTTAGGGCTATACTAAAGTGGTGTAAAAGTATCATTCAAGCTAATTTTTGCCGCGCTGCAGATCAAGCCCTAAGAATTCTTGTTTTTTTTATAATCTTTTAATAGGCCACGCCGCATAAAGCAAACAAGCGTACAGAACGATTATTATTGTTGGGCAAGTTCATTATCGATCAGAAAAACAATCTTATAATTGACACTGTAAAAAATCGCGCGCTTTTAATGTTGTAAATTTGATGTAAGTATGTTGTAAGTGTCCAAAATTCTGTAAATTAAATGGAAATTATTTGTGTAATGGGAGTAGTTTAACGTTTCGGATCGAGAGGATATCGGTGGCAAAGCAAAGATGATGTGGAAACAACTATTATATTGTTTATTGGAAGTTTGCTTTCTTATCGCGAAAAGATCTAAAGTTATTTATAAATCACAATAAACCATTGCTTCCGCCCTCTCTTTGCGCGTGTGTATCATGGACTGAATGCAAAGACACAAGACATGCCTTGACTTATCTAATTACCGGCCAAAGCTACCRAATGATTCAGTGATTCAAGGTCTTTCAGGACTTGTTTACATTGAGGTTACTACCATCGCCAATGTTATGACTGACTCAGTATTTGTATTGTCACTGACTAATGCTTTAGCCCGAGGTAAAGAAGCTTATCGAATGATGTTTTACTAAAACCACAACCGACGACGTTAAAGTTGTCCAGCGGTATTACACAATAATTGATAAAAGGTCATCTTCAAAATGCTCTCATGATCCATATTACATTCATTCATAATTGCTTTTGCTAGTACATATTTGTTCAGCTTGAGTTTCTCGTACATGTACACAATTATATGTCTTTTATGTTGAGAGAATGGCACGTAATAGTCTTTTAGACTAATAAACCGCCTTCTTATTCATTCAAACCTATCACCTCAACATTAATTATTTTAGTGCACAACCCTCYTCAAACGCTACTTTTGACGGAGGGAGGAAAACAAGTGTACCTGGCTAGAGAAAAACCCTCGGAATAAGGTAGAGAATGAGTCTATACAAACTTAAAACATCCTCGCCCAGGAATTGAACCAGTACYACAGCCACTATCTCTGCAACTATTGCCGGTAAACTTAGCCTGGTCTAAGAAATGAAAAAAAAAGGTCTCGTTACACCGAAGCCACATAAATTTATTACTGGCGACAATAGTAATTATGCTTAAAATGTATATTAAATGAATGAAATTAGTTGGTCATACCATCTTCATACCAGAATCCAACTTCTTCAAAAACACAATATACTAGCAAAGTAAGACTGAATWTGTGGCATCTGATTCAAATATAAGTAAACATAAATTTTCACGAGTACTGCATTGTTTCTCATACAATGCGTCTTTCATACAACTACGTTTCAGATAACGTCTGYAAGAACGTCGATTGTCGACTGGAGATTGTTTAGCATGGCTACACTGATTGACATACAAACTTCACTTTGCGTGAGAAATTAGACTAAAATGGTGATATACACGCCTTCATGGCTGACACAGATCGCAGGGGAAGATCGGTCCATTGGAGCTCAATGATTACATCTCGATTTTGAATCTTGAAAACAAAATGCTATTTGTCATCAAATATTTTCGCTGGCAAGGCAAACTTGATCCTCAGCACGCCACCGGGAATGCCGTTKCTGTAAATACCGTTATGTAATCATCTGAATAGCTAATGCCTAGCTCTCTGATGATACACATGCGCAGAAGAGACGGCATACAAGTGGCACTGGTCACCTGATAAGGTGCGCTGCAACGTACGTTACTGTATATGATCAACTTTGAAAACGATTCATAAGTTCCGTTTTGAGTATATTAGCTCACGAGCCGGAAAACTGCACCTATGCAGACCATGTGCTTAAAACAATATAATCCTTTCCTTGTTCAAAATAATTCCATTGAGAAAAACGCCCAAGATTTAGCAAATTCCATCCGTTATGGCAAAAAGGACTTTCCGCATCTATTAATTTAAGGAGGAGTCCTATTCATTCAAACCGAAGAAAAGTAGTTTTTAATTACGCAGAAATGTCGTTCTCGTAGGAACTATTATCGTATTTACCGGCTAAAAAAAGTCTTAAGTGGCTTTATTTTTAGACTTAAGTCTGAAAATAATTATAGGCTTAAGTTAAACATAAAATAACACTGCGTTAACTATACTTTGTTTGAAAAGAGGAAAAACACCAATAATGGATAAATCAAAGTTATCAATGTCTAGAAGTGATTGTTAATGTSTTAAAGTACAACGGTTGATTGCGGTTTATTCGGAGCAGCGCTAGATTTGAATGTTCATACGCTTATCTTTTGTGTCGATTGGCTGCACAACACTGGACCTTTCTTTTTTGTCTTGTAATGCTCTCTAGAAGCCAATGCAAAATATGATAAAGACGAGAGAATTTCGTAGATGGAAGCTGAACTGAATACATCATCGCAGCTCTGAAATGAGAAGGAATCATGAATCAGTGTGGTGGGGGTCAGGAATCAAGATCACTCAAGACAAAAAATTGATAAGCTATACTGGAATTGATAACAATTAAAATAATAATTGGTTTGAATCGTGAATCAACACGTGTACGTGATCCTGCTTCCACTCCCGATGATTTACAACTAYAAGACAGTTTGTAAATTACTTTTGTACTGATTGTATTGTTKTTGCAAAGCACAAGTAGGMAAAAACCACACTCGTATAACTTGTACAATTTTAGCTGGCATGCGCACCCATAGATCATTTCAAATTAAAAGATTTGTTTATCACGCCTATAGCAGATCTAATTGATTGCTCATCGCAAACACCAAGCAATGGTGCCATTGTGCTTGTTGTTAATCGAAAATTAAAACCTAAACATTTTTTTTTTGAAAACAGCCGCCACTCTTAAAACCACGTTGAGATCCAAGAGACCAAAAGACTTGTGCATTAGGACGTCTTGCAGAGCGCGCACAATGCCCCATATTGCACGTGGTTGTGCACACAATGCTGAAGTAGATGCACCTTTTGCTTTCCACCTCATTGAGAGTTATTTGACGGTTTTTCCAGCCATGAGGAGCAACACTACGAGCAGATGTACTTGAATAGATATAGAAGTAAACATAGTCAGTTGAATATGCATCTTTTGTAAGATGAATGTGGCATCCGCAATGCCAACAGCCGTTGTTGCCAGAAGAGGAAGCAGACGTGCTGGATAATGACAACTCGTGTTACATAAAGTGCACATCGAGCCAGTGAGACGCATGCATTTGAAAACAATTGGACATGTTTACAATATGACTTAACGGTCGTATGCGCGATAGCGCACCCTTTTGATTGTACAATTTTATCAGTTTTTTTTCTTAAGTAGAGAATATGTTATTATATTTCATAGAATTGAAACACTTAAATGAAGCAAAGCAAATACATGTCCATGATTCACTGAATATCAAAGCACGATAAGTAAACTACTGATGCCTTTTTCTTATTCATTGAATTTTTCTAAGTCCAAAGACTGATCAGGGACGTGGATTGATTGGCTAGCTTTCGTTATATGACTGAACGTTCAGTACCATTATCAGATTCTTTCTAAGCGTTGCTTTCAAATCGCATTAGCATACACTAGGCTAGGCAGTGATATGATTAGGTAGTACATCATTTTGTTTCCCGATAAATCTATAATGTATTACTATAAGGCGGGTACATGTTTTACATTGTCTTCACCAAGACCTACAAACATGCTGCAGGACTCGTTAAACGAGAACTAGCCTCGTGAGTTTAGAAGGAAAATACCGCTATAGTAGTCATTTTTCTTTAAGTTTTCAAGATATATAGTTTAAACATTTACTGATGGATTGTCTACCTAGTCTTAGCAATTTCCTGCACTTGTCATGTTCATACTGAACAC